TTTCGGGATTCTCGGGACTTATCGTTACAATAATCGATAATTTGTCGGCTTTGTGATCGATGTTTTTATCGTCTTTGTTATCGAAATTTTTATAGGTATTGTTATTGATTTTGCTATCGATATTTTCGGAACTTATCCACATAAAGATCGATATTTTTATCGACTTTGCTATCAATTTGTCAATTTTGTTGTTTTATCGATTTTGTTATCGAGTTTGTTACCGATATTTTTATCGATTTTGCTATCGATATTGTTATCGCTTTTGTTATAAATATTTTTGTCGGTTTTATTATCGATATTTTTATCGACTTTGAAATCGATTTTATTTTCGACTTTGTTATCGATTTTGTTATCGATTTCGTAATCGATTTATTTATCGATATTTTGATCGATTTTGTTATCGATATTTTTTTCTTAGTGTGTGCTTTCGTTTTTGACTTGAATATGCTCTTAACCGTACCACGTATTCTACGTTTAAATTTAGTCTGCAGACCATGACGAAGGCGCTGCACTGTTCTTTTTTCTCTCATTTTTCAACATAAATAAATAAAATCTAGAGCTTTTTTAAATAATCGCCACGGATAGATCGACGCGAAATTTAAAAAAAAGAAACCTTAAATCGGTTCATATTTGGGCTTTGAAAATTAATTTGCCCACGGTAACCTTTTTTGACCCAATGTGGGTCGTTTGAATGTAAAAAAAAAAAACATGGAAGATGCCGCCATTAGATTTAAAACCTGTATTGGATGACGCTGCGAAGATAACAGAGACCTGCGAAATTAAAATACATCTTTGGTTTTTTTTATTGGTGATATGTATATTTTAGAATTTCTAGCAATTTGCATGAAATAAATAAACAAAGTAAATCAGAAAATGTATGTAACTTCGAAGTTAACGCTAAGAAAATTGATAACAGCCAGTTTCACCAGCAATTTAAATGAAAAATGATTTTTTATTTTCTGTCAATTTCCATATAAAATTAAAAAAGGCGTGTGTAGCACTGTAAAATTCGAACTCAAGCTCACACAAACATTCTCATTTTTAGTCTCAAACAACAACAATTGTGAACAATTTCATTTTTTTATTTTCAATTTTATATGATTTTAAAATGTTTGCAAACGGCAGAAAACAATCATGGCTGACGAATTGAGAGAATGGTTTTTTACCTTCTAATGTCTTTATCATGGGTGTAAGTACCAGGTACTCACGAAATTTGATAGGTAAACATATGCTTACGGCTCGGCAAACCATTAGGCGATTTAGTTACATATTTACATAGGTTTGGTTAGAAATTAAACATTAATTTCATTTCATCTTAGTCATTTTACAATATATAACCCCCCTATCCCAGTGGGAAAAGTAGTAATAATGCATTTTCGAATGTGAAAAGGGTTGTTTTACTGATTATTTTTTCGATTACTATACATTAAATTTTCCGACTGGAATTTTTAAAACACTCGAAAAAATCAATATCTTCACAAAACTAGGAGCCAAATATAGTACAACTGCGTTTTTAATTTTTCCCTCTGAAGTCAGGATTTTTTTTTAAAGGACTTTAAAATTTCCAGGATAAGATTGAATAAAAAAAATATTTAAAAGATTTTGTGCATTGTAAAGTAACAATATGGGTATCAGTTAAAAGGAAAAATTCTGTAGATTAAAAAAATAATAATTTTTGGTTGCACCAGGTTTAATAAATGTTTAAAATGTTATTTTAAAATTTTATCCTTGAATATCCTTGGAAGTTTACAATATTTATTTTTGAAAAAAAAGGACTAATATGTAAACTACCACATCCTCGAATTTCGTCCTTCTAACTTATTAGTTTTAGATAAAAAAATTTTACACTTCTCTTTATAAGATATTGATATTTACAATATACATAAATCAAGATACTGTATTCATTACACTGTACAGCACTCGGCTGGGTACAATACCAAACAAATTTTTTTTAAGAGATTGAGTCATAGGTAAAAAAGCCATTTCTCCGTTTTTCGAAGTTAGCCTCCGAAATCGAGATATGGGCCTTCGAAGTTCGAAATAGGATCTTTGGTAAAAAATTATTTATTATTATTATATGTAAATAACTAAAAAACTAAAAATACAGCCGGAGACCGCCTTTTGCTCTTATTTAAACGGTTTATAACTTTTTTTTGCAAACTTATATTACAGGTGCTATAAGGGGGCAAAGGTCGGGTCTTCGAAAAATTAATAACCTTATATTTCAAACAATTTTGAACTGATGTTTTAAAAGTTGGTATCGATGTAAACGTGATTAGACCGCCTTCTTCTCTTCTGATACGCATGATTTATATGTTTACTTTGTATGTAAAAATTTTAGAAAAAACATTTAAATGAAAAAATACCTTTTTGTTATAAAAAAAAAATATTTTAATAAAAAAATTACTAATCGATTTTTAAAAAGTTTATATCATTGTAAACGCAGTCAAACTTTCTTTCTTCTGATATGCGTATTTGTATACTTCGTACACTTAACACTTAAAATGAAAAAATACCTTTATATACCTTTTATAAAAAAAAAAATTAACAAAAAAATTACTAACCGATTTTTAAAAATTTGATATAGTTGTAAAGGCAACCCTCTCTTCTGGTATGCATATTTGAATACTTCGTATATAAAAATTTGAGAAACAACACTTAAAAGCAAACAATACCTTTTTCTTATAAACAAAATATTTTAAACAAAAAAATTAAAAACCGATTTTTAATATATTAGTATCGTTGTAAAGGGTACCAGAAAACTTATACTTTCTTAATCCCAAAAATTTCTATTTATATACACAAAGAAAAAAGTTTAATCAAATACATTTTTTCCCTCTATACAAAAAAAATTAAAGTATTTAAACCGTACATCATACGGTCAGTTTGTTCTTTTAGAGCGCATACATGGTTCCAAAATAACAATTCCAGTATCTTCAATTCTGTATGTATATTGTAACTATCTTATAACTAGAAGTGTAATTTTTTTTCAATCTAAAACTAATAAAGTTAGAAGGATGAATTAGGGTATGTAGTAGTTATCATTTTCAATCAAATTCTAGAAATTTCAAAGTCTTTTTAAAAAATTTCTGACGTCAGAGAGAAAAACTAAAAACGCAGTTTTACTTTTAATATTTTTATTGAGCTTTGTACCACGATTATCTTATTGGGAAAATTGGCAGCAACAAAGTCTAAGCAGTAGAAGTTATAGCAGCTATTTCGGAGATCACCACATCTCCTCATCAGACTTCTTTTTTCTAGACTTCAGCAGGGATCGAACCCGCATCATCGATGTGTAAAGTCAGAAGCGTTAACCACTGAGCTATGCTCACCCCGTAAACTCGTGTTGCTAATTCATTTTCCTTATTCAACCTACTGCTATCAAGTGCAGCTGATTTGCGGCTATTTAAACTTGGCAGCGTGGTTGTTGTTGTCAATTCTATACATGCATTTGCTTTCTTGTATAGTTTCAGGCAGGCTCCTCCTAAACTATGTATTTGTCAATGTTATTGTGGCTTATTAACATTTAAATTTAATATTTTTATTGAGCTTTTACTATATTTGGCCCGCAGTTTTGTGAATACATTGAGTTTTTCGTGTGTAAAATTGACTGTCCCACGGTTTAATTTATTTTTGCACGTTCAATTTAAAATATTACGTTTTTTTAGCGCTGATTCGCATGGTTCCGGAGATTTGCCCATATACATATCTGCGTAACCGATTTATCATTGCTACCAAACTCGGTGTAAATATTTCTTTGAATCTAGCGAAGCTACGGGTTGAAAATGTTTCAGATGCAATTAGTTGGGCTTAGATCAGGCAGCAGTCAGTATCGATGTCTTCAAAAGAATCGTAATATCGTCACTTGGCGCGCAATACGTCGTGTCCGTCAAATTCAATACCTCGTATGTACATATATGATAGTCGGAAGATTTCACAAAAGCGCGAAGAAACTTATTTTCTTCAAAACTTTTTAATTTAAACCTACAAAATATGAGATTCTGCTATTATTATGCACTACTGAATTTGTGAAGTAGGGAGGCATTGAGACCAAATATAAGTAAACTTTTTTCTATGCCACCTCATACGTGGTATTGCATTTGGCGGATACGAGGTATTGCCCGCCAAGCGACGATAGGTATGTAGCTGCGTGTCCGGCAATCAAAGAACTCGTTTAGTTAAAGTCGGTCGTGGCCGAACTTTCGATGGAAAGCAATTTGAAGGTGAAGTTATACATGGACAACATAAGCGCGATTCGACTAATCAAAAACCCTGTATTCCATAAGCGAACGAAGCACGTTGATGTTCAATATCACTTTATAAGGGAGAAATTTCAAGAAGGCTATTTCGACTTGGAATACGTTTGCACAGAAGAACAAATTGCAGATATATTTACCAAACCACTGAATGAATTTTACTTTTGACCCAAATGTTTAATTTAAATTTTGTTTTTTATGAGTGGAAATGTTGAAGTATGCATTGTGAAACACAAATTTATAAAATATGGCAACACTTTTCTCTCATTTCTTTTGACATTGTGTAATTCTGTTAGCATACATACATCTACGCAATCCAGCAATTTATTTTTATAGTTCAGCGAAGCCTTCGGTTTGTAAAAAGAGCAAATTTTCCTAAAATCTAGAAAACGTTCTGTAAAAGCGAACTTTGTATCCAGTTTAATTTTTGGTATTTTTATTTGGCTAGATTAAATAACTAGTTTGCGTGATTACGAAAAACAGCAGCTTGTTCGGAGGTGGAGTAAAAGTGTAGATATCTCCATTTGTGTCACAACATCAAGCAGAGCACGAATTGGAGGAGTCAATCACCCTAGTACTTACCCAGCAGCGCCCTGCTTTATGGGGTCCTGCCACAATATAAATAATTGCCTACAACCGCTGACCAATTTGAAATTGTAATTAACATTGTAGGCAGACTGGACGCCTCCCATACAGCAGTGCGCCGCTGGGTATAAATAAATATATTTCTCCTTAAACAGTTACCTTGCACTAAAAATTGCTGCCAGGGCTAAAAAGCAAGCATCTGCTTCACGGGGAGTCGATGTATAACAGCGATCAATAACCCACTCAAGTAGCACACTACAGTCCGGATTCGATTCAAGTAATAAGACAACAGTATCTCGTGCTAAGAGATATATCTAAAAGAAAAAAACATCCAATGGGCATGAAATTACATTAGGTTTTAATAAGCAAATACTAGTTGTTGTAATTATAACATAACATAATATTACATAATTTAACATAACATAGCATAAAGCAACATATAACCCGCAAATTGAGTTTAATTACCTTTTCGTCTTTAGATGTCAACAACATGTCCAGCCATTCGTAAATAATACCATAATCAGACAGATATGGAGGATGGAATATGTGTCCGCAGCAAAGTAGAGCAGATAGGGCCTTTTAGAAAAAATAAAAAGAGAAGAGAAAACAAGCAGAAAACGAAATTACAGGTATCTACATACATATGTTTTTAGTGTTTTCAAGTAGATTAGACTGTCCCAAGAATATATGGACAAAAATTTGTTTGCAAATTTTGATATGCATACCTTCTATATTTGTACTTTTTAGCTTAAATAGCATATACATATATGAAGTTTTATGGCCGTGCAATAACGATAAACAGTGTTGCCTATTTGTGAGTAATTCCTCAAAACGTGAGGAATTTCGGGTGCGCTTGAGTATTTTTGAGGATTTATATTTTGAGGAATTTTCTCTCGATATATTTGCAGATAACAAATGCAGCCATGTTTTACACAAGAGAGTTGTTAAATCGCTCTGCAAATTTTTGAACAAAAAGCTTTCCGAAGTTTTATAAGGAGCGAAATACACCACCCAAGTGGCTTGTCAACATTCTTCAAACCTACTTTTACCATTCGCCATACACCATGCAAACATGACTTGTTCACGCAAATAATTTTAGTTTTCTTCTGGTTCACAATGTAAAAGGGTTTGGTTTTCTTCGATTTATATCTCTCGCGCCCTCATTACATTGCCAACGATGCGATTTTATCATAGAAAACGTAAGCGGTTTGATCAAACGACAACATGGCTGCTTGTCAAACCTTCAAACTCCCCCATACCCAACATAAATAGTTTTAAAGAAAGGGATATTTCGCTTGGTTTGTCAAGCCGCTTGTGTGGTGTTTTTCGCTCTTAAGCATATCTGCATTTGCTGCTAAATATTCATAATGTTATCGATAATTTTCTTCATTGCATAGTTATATTTTCAACTTATTTTAAACTTGCAAAATCTCGGTAACGAATGGAGAGAACGCGCATTGTTCGATCATAAGGATATTCATAGTGGTTCCTCATTAGATCCAGAAAATTATAGGAAAAGTTTTTGAATTAAAAGATTCTTCAGGTTCATATAAGTTTCCCAATTAAAAAAAATTATATCTGCATTACTAATATAGCCCTTTTCTAATGCTTCATTAGAACGTATATTTAGTTGTTTAAAAATGTGTAGAACTGACTTGAGGACCAGATTGAGCACTGATATAGTGTCAGCAATATTATATACAAACCAAGGCATAAAAAATAACGGTGATACTCTGTTTGAACCGCAAGAACAAATGTACCAATTAAATTGGAGAATGTAATTAATTTTTATACTAAGTACCTGTAAATAGTGTGCAGTACACAATAATCATATCTGTAATAAGAAAATTTTGAGTAATTTGTTCGGATTTTGAGGATTTTTCGTTTGTGTTTGAGGAATTTCGTAATTTTTTTGTGGCAACACTGCCGACTTTTAGTTGAAGTTTAAGTTAATAACTTGAATTAATCGTGCACTAAAACTTTGAAAATGCGAGAAATTCGATATGTTTCCCATATTTTAGCGAATTTCTAGTAAATCTGGTTTTTTAACTTTTTTCATAGGATGGCTGGATTTCTCCCAAGGACATCGAAAAAATTAATTAAACTAAAATATCCTTTGCAATTTTTATCCTTCAATATCCCTATATAGATTAATAGGATTTAAATTAAATTAAATGCATTCAAATTTAAAAATCTTGAAGAATAATATTTTTGCAGGACATTTTTGACATGTTCCAAAAGGATAATTGAAAACGAAAGTTATAATTAATCTTGTTTTGAATTTTTCCTTTAATTGATACTAGGGATGTGCCGGGTATCCGGTAGATATCCGGAATCCGGCTTATCCGGCCTTTTTTCTGTTATCCGACTATCCGGCCGGATCCTGGCTAAAATCCGGCCGGATTTCCGGATTTCGATTATAGAAGATTCTATTTAAAAATGTAGTTCAGTTTTTTTTTTATTGTTATAATCAAATTTAATAGTATCTAACTAGCAATTAAGTGTTAAAAAGTTATATACTTTTTATTATGAAAAGAAGCATTTCCGCATTGCCGGTCAAGAACCCATTTCTATTTTCAACATAAATGCTACCGGATGCACTAAACATTCTTTTTGAGTTCATTGAGGAAGGAGGTTCGCGGAGATACTTCATTGCCAGTGTAAACAGGAGGAGGAAATATTTTTTCAACATATAACGTGTATATAAATTTAAATAAATAATATAAAAAAACCTTTTTAATATACAACGCTTTTATAAATGGACTAAAAAGTAGAAAATAATACTTCTCAGTCCCATAGAATTTGTTTTGATAACTTTTGATTTTGAAATTTTAGCAAAAGTCATTATAAACAATCTATGAAATTGAAAATGAAAAACGTGGAGCGCATGCAATACAAAGCATTCGATTTAGTTGACAATAGTCAAACTACATAACGTAGACCTAAAATTTCTACAGCGAAAGTAGAACTTTGGAATCGATTTTAAGCGGTCGTTATTCATATACCCACATACATACATACATATATTACTTTTCATATCAATTCAAGTGTATTACATGCGCCCCACGCTTTTCATTTTCAATTTCATAGATTGTTTATAATGACTTTTGCTAAAATTTCAAAATCAAAAGTTATCAAAACAAATTCTATGGGACTGAGAAGTATTATTTTCTACTTTTTAGTCCATTTATAAAAGCGTTGTATATTAAAAAGTTTTTTTTATATTATTTATTTTCTACTTTTTAGTCCTGTCTGAATAAAATTTTGCAATAGATATTAAAATAATTCAACGATATTAATAGAAAGGTGCACACACATGCATTTACATATGTATGTACATACAAACGAGCACCAATTAATTTTATTTAAAGAATGGCGTGTCGTCTATTTCCGGTGTAGAAACGTAGTACATGGGGCGACATCTAGATGTCATCTACCTCGCCCTATTCACTATGCTTTTTTATAGGAGCTTTTCAAAGCTTTGCTTTATGGTGTCGGACACACAACATTGAAAGCTTCTGGAACACAACATTGAAAGTTTCTGGAACACAACATTGCAAGTTGATAAAAGCGTTGTAAAATCACCGCAATTTCCAATTTTAAGAGTTTTGATAGTTTTGAATTTCTTGAAGTTTTCCCATTTTAAATAACTTGAGTGGAATTCCAAAATTTTCTAAACTTTCAAAACTTTGTGGATTTGAAAAATTTTAGTAAATCAGAATAAGTCAAAGAAAAAGAAATACTATATTTCTAGAAATTTTTTATTTTTCAAAAATTTTGAGAATTGAAGGAATTCTAAAAAAAAATCTCTAAGTAAAAGTGTAGAATATACAAAATTGATCAAACGAAATTAAAAGTTTTCGAATGTTAAAAACATTTACATATATCGTCGTTTTTGAAAATTTCAAAATTTCCGTAATTCTTGAAGATTAAAAAAATTTTTGGGCGGTGACGTTTTCAAAATTGTCAAAAAATTTAAAATTCTCAGTACAAAATTTTGGAAAAGTTCAGAAAAGTGGACAATTTTTGGAATTTTGCAAAAATGTTAATATAATTTAGAATTCTAAGAATTTTCTAGGTTGTATACATATGTAAGTACCATGAACATAAGAATTTTTCGTCAATTTGTGATGTTTAACATTTTTACATTTTAGGATGGATTTTAGAATAAATAAAATTCTAAAAATTTTGAAAAATATAAAAATTTCTAAAATCTCAATAATTTTGTACATTTCAAAATATTCTCATTTTATAAAAATTTCTAGAATCTTCCGGATTTCGAGTTTTTGAAACTTTGGAAATTATCCCAAAAATAAGAAATCTCAAGAAATTTAATAATTTCATAAACTTGCGAAAATATTCAAACTTGCTGTGACTTTCAACTATGTAAAATAGTACAAATTCGAAAATACAAAAGAAAAAGTAAAAATTTAAAATTAAGTAATTTCAAAATTTTGAAAACTCAATAAATTCGAAGAACTGATAGGCTCACTCAAATAACATAATACTTGAAGCTTAGCACACAACTAAAATTTTCAAACTCAAGTAAAATTTTACACACTTTTTCCATGAATTCAAATTTTCAAAAGCATCCATTCATTAGGTTTGTTCCACAAGCTACTCGAAGTCACTTCGAGTTACATATAGGCGTTCCACAAGTAAATTTTCGAGTTTCTTTGATATACGCTCACAGTTTAAACTTTGCTCGGGTTTTTCTCCAAGTAGCTCATATATTCTTGCAATAACATTTCACGATATTCAGGGAAATTGAAATATTTTAGGATTTAAAATATCTCACTCATCATTTCTTACAGTTGAATATTATGAAAACACGTGTTACACAGCTCTTAGGGGGCGAAATTTCCCCAATTTACCCCCGCTTATCCTGCTTTAAAAATATTTGTTTTTACGATGAACTTATTGTTTTTTATATTGGTTTGAACCGGGCTTGAACCCAGGCCCTGCGGAATGTTAGCGCGACCTGCTAACCGCTACACAACAGCGGCCGTCTATGATTCCACCAAATTAAAGGATCTTCTTGTCTGGGTATAGCTGTAAATATTTCTCCATTTCTCCATCGTTTGGCTGTCCACATCACTACAAAAACTGTAATCAATGTCAGAGCCGTTGGCGATTTCCCCAAAGCATTGCCATATATCCTGGTCTCGCTCTTCAATAGAAGCTTTCAATAGAATTCGGCCTTTTCATATGATTCAGCAGTTTTCTCCATGCTAACTGATTTCGAATTAGTTCGTTCTCCATATACCCAGTTTTTAGATTTATTGATGTCAGAAAAGAAAACGATTTTTGAAACAAGTGTCACAAAATATTGCAACAATGAAGCCTTACCGGGCGATTCGGGAAGCGAAACGACATTTAACCATGCATATCAATTAGATTTTCACATTTTAAAACAAAAAGAAATCAATCATACGTTTTTTCTTAGTGGCGTTCATTGTTGTTTATCTTTTGTTTCTGACGTTTCTTCTCTATTTACCAAAAATAATCGATAAATCCGGCTTGCAGACGGAGAAGTTATGTTTTTTATTACAGGATTATATAATAACTTGGATTTC